GAAGAAACACATACTACGGAACGGAACTCAGAAAGACCTCACAAGTGTTGCATCAAACGGCTGTCAAAATTCCCCAGATTTTTTGCGAAGACTGAAACTTTCTGGGCATTTAAAGCAAAGTTTTATCCATTCAATGTAATAGCAAGTGCCTGTCAATCTAGCTCAGTTTTTGCAAAATTAATTTTCGAAAAAACACCTGCGCCACTAAAAATGCAATGGTTGGACTGACAAGTGTTGTTTCAAAACCCTACCAATAATTCCTGGATTTTTTGCGAAAGGTCAAACGTTCTGCACATTGAAATCAAAGTTTTAGTTATTCAACGAAATAACAAATGAGTTTCAGTCTAGCCTAGTTTAAGCAAAATTAATTTTTGAAAAACACGTTTGCAACTAAAAAAAGCAGGCGGTCGCGCGACACCTATTGCTTCAAATCCCTGCCAATATTCTCCAGTTTTTTTGCGAAAAGTGAAACTTTCTGGGCATTGAAAGCAAAGTTTTAACTATTCAATGGAATAGCAAGTGCTTTTCAATATGGCCCAGTTTTCGGAAAATAAATTTTTCAAAAAACACCTGCGCAACTAAAAAATGCAATGGTTGGAGTGACAAGTGTTGCTTCAAACCCCTGCCAATAATCCCCACAATTTTTGCGAAAAGTGAAACGTTCTAGACATTGAAAGGAACGTTTTGGCTATTCAACGAAATAACAAACCAGTTTCAATCCAGTCTAGTTTTTACAAAATTGATTTTTGGAAAAGCACTTTTGCGACATAAAAAGGCGGTAGATCACCATAAAACCCCGCCAATATTCTCCAGATTTTTTTTCGAGAAATGAAACTTTAAAAGCATTTAGGGCATAGTTTTTTCTTTGGAATAGTGTGACAAGCGCGTTTCCATCTAACGAAATTAGTTTTGAAGAAACACATACTGCGGAACTAAGAAAAACCTCACAAGTGTTGCATCAAACGGCTCTCAAAATTCCCCAGATTTTTTGCGAAGACTGAAACTTTCTGGGTTTTTAAAGCAAAGTTTTATCTATTCAATGGAATAGCAAGTGCATGTCAATCTAGCTCAGTTTTTGCAAAATTAATTTTCGAAAAAACACCTGCGCGACTAAAAAATGCAATGGTTGGACTGACAAGTGTTGTTTCAAAACCCTACCAATAATTCCTGGATTTGGTAGTGCGAAAGTGCAAACGTTCTGCACATTGAAATCAAAGTTTTAGTTATTCAATGAAATAACAAATGAGTTTCAGTCTAGTCTAGTTTAAGCAAAATTAATTTTAAAAAAACACGTTTGCAACTAAAGAAAGCAGGCGGTCGGGCAACACGTATTGCTTCAAAACCCTACCAATATTCTCCAGATTTTTTGTGAAAAGTGAAACTTTCTGGCGACTAAAAGTAAACTTACATATAATAAAAATACAAACTGAAAAATTAGTTCACCTGACACTTAATGATTTTTTACAAAAAATTGCAACAAGCAAAAATCGCTCTAAATTCAATTGGTTATTATTAAAATTGTTTAGTTTATTGAAAATGGCATTAAAAATTTCCAAAAAAAGGTTTCTAAAACGAGATGACAATTGGCAAAAATAAAAAAAAATGGTTTCATCTAAGTTGTTTAAGGAATCTGGCTTTAATTTGCAGTCACTCCCTTTAGCGCAGAAAAATTTAAAGAATTCTGTCGGGAATGAAACTAAGTTTCAATATGGAATAAGGGTAATAACATTGATTAAAACAGTGAAAGTAGCTGTGGCATTTAATTAGAAAAAACCCAAATTTGCCAATTTCCTATACAGAATATTAGGTATGTATCTAAACCGCTGAATTGTGCCTTGTAATACTAAATAAATATGTATAACAAAATAAAACAAGCCACCCACTTTACTTTCCATGTTATAATTAATATATTCCTCTCATGTAAATACTATTGCTTAACTTTAATTTACTTTTTTTGTCTTCACCCCAATCCTGCATTTTTTAAGTAAAGTGAAACTCGCCGTTGAAGCGTAACGGCTCGATTTTACTACTTTTAGGAATTTTCGAAATCGATCTTTAAAATGAACTCGCTGAAAGAAATTGTTTTTCACGGCGGTCTAAAAGCCTGGAAAATTCACACAGTTTCAAATAATTGCAGCGAAAGCCAAACCCTTTTGATAATCTGTAAAACCTTTTAAATGAATAATCCAATGTTCACCTTAAAGTACACTTTTATTCAGATATACCTAATTTTAGCTCGATTATTAAAGAGGTGCAATTATTAAATTCCTCTACTACATTTTATCGGTCTTGATCACAACAGATCTAACTAATGTGCTCGTTCTTCAAACATGTGGGGCAAAACAAATATTTGCCAAAAATCCGAACTATTTCAGCAGATTGTGTTCGAGAAACTGTTTTTGTTTTAATGAATTGGAAAGTCGTGCGGTCATTTTCACGCGACCTCAAAGTCTAGATAGTCGTATGAAAATGGGCCTTTTCCAGGCCAGATTAAATTGAATCTTCCATTCATTTACTAAATAATTTTTTTACGTCACTGATCATCAAATTTTGACCACCAATTAATTAGTAACTTCCTTACTGAAAATTGGCGCTTTCTAGACAATTAATGACAATATTACGTGCCATAAGTTCCAACATCAGAAACATTTGAAGATGATTTCATGAGGTTGCAAAAGGTTAAAGAGAACTGACACTTTAAAATAACTGGTATTCAGTTAGTAGGTATTTGGAAGCACATACGAATAGAAAAATACATCCACAATCGACCTAGAAACACCTTTATTTTGAATGTTTGTTTGCATTGTTCTCTGAGGTTAAGGAAAGTGGTTTGAATTCGAATCATAACGGCCAGGCAGGCACGCAGGCAAAGAGTTCAGATTTCAGCTAATACTCTACCTAAGTATTATTTGGTAGAACAATTGCACATATTGTTTCTGGTTCGAAAATGTCGCTATTTAACGCAATAAATTTTGGCCAAGTAATGGTTTAACTGACTTGATTGAGGAAGGTTAAAAACAATTAGTAGGTACATGAAATTTAAAAAACAAAACGGTAGAAGCTCATTTGAGATCCATAAGGATTTTCTTAATAGATTTTGCCGCAAAATTGCATAAAATATCATAAAGTTGCCAGCTTCAAGTGAGTTCTCTGGGGTGACCATTTTATATCATACTGATACCACATCTGATACTTGATTCTATTGGTCAAAATTGGAAATTTTATGCTGTTACATTGTAGTGGTGTAAGGTTGTCAACCGATTTAACGGCCCAAATTTATTTAATTAATAACGGTATTATTTCAGTGCTTATTTCACCATTCTTACTTCACTTATTTTATTACCTCGTAGGCTCTACTCAGGTGTTTAGTAAATACATTAAAATAAGAGTCTATTTACCGCAAATAAATGTTTCCACTACTTATCTAATAAAGCACAAGCCAATAAATTTCGTTTTTATTTATTTCGTCTATCCGAGTATGGGAACATGATATACCTATCATTTGAAAGAGATTAGGATAGTATTTCTATTTAAGTGAATCTAGCGAAAAACTACTCATTTCTCTATAATACAGAACATACTTTTCCATACAAAACTAAGTACTTAATACACAGTGCTTTGTTGCAAAATGTTAACTTTTTACGAATAAATACAGATATCGCAGTTATGAAAATTAAATTTCGAATAAATTTTGAACGAAAATATTGGGAAAATAATTTTAAAAGTGATTGGGAAAATAAATAATTATCGAAAACCGCTAAAGATAGGTATTGGAAAGTATTGAATAAAAACATTAGGAAAGCAATTGCAAATCCAAAAACAGTGTTATATAATACAGGGTGTTTCATTTGAAATAGCAAAGTTGATGATACTTTTGTATTGTTGTATGAAAATATTTTTAGTCGTTAGATCACGAGCCATTAAGAAGTAACCCACGTTTCAGAACAATATCAAGTCAGAGACTCACCCTGTGTATTATTTTTAAGAGTTGTTTTAGAAAAATGTAGTTTAACCAGGCCAATTTTCTGAACTTCACGTATTCATTAACAATTAATTCGTTTTTGATTGATTTCTATTTTATTCCCTTCAAAAAACATTATACACATGTTGCTATTAATTGCCATGTAATTTCAATTTATCAATCAATAGGAAAATCGGAATGGATTGGGACAGATAAGAGACCATTTACAACTACAGAATAATACTTATTCATCAATAACCAGGCTAGTTAAAAGCAAGCCATCAATTAATAACCATACATAAAAGGTTTTGAAAAATATATTTATTTTTTCTAAAGCACTTGTGATATTTAGCCAAAACTGTACACATTGTATTTGCATCTAGATGAACTAAAATTGAAAATTCACAAAAAATCTATTCTTGTTCTTTGGAGTGAATTGCCGATTAAAAAAATACTGAAAAAACCTAGAAACTGTTTTCTAAAAGCGTCTTCACAGCTTCTGTGTCTAGTAACACACTATTTTTCGATCAGCTCTCGTATACCGGGCAACGACGACAAAGAGTGGGTGGTTTTCGTAACGATCGATACTCTCTCTCACTCTGGAGTACAATTACGAATATGGCCGATTGTACTCGCCTCTTTTCGAATGAATCACTACGGGGGGTAATGCATGAATAATCTAATTCCAATTTTCTCTGGGGGTTTGTATGACGCTCTATACCTACTAAACATAATGAGCAAATTTGAATTATAAATTTCCTTGCTCAATGGAACGATTTTCGAAAAGCATTTGAACACAATACTATATTTTAAAGGGCTGTCACTAAATTTAGTTACATTACACTAGACTGGTCAATTAACCTGGAGCTTTTCAGAGAATAATTAAACCCTCCACCAATGAATGGGACAATAAAGGAAGGATAACGCGAACTGAATACTTATCGAGACAAAGACATATAAGGCAAGTAAAAACTGGTGAATACACAACGCAACAAGTAAAAATACAAACAATAATTAACTAATTTCCCAAAGCACATACCTTAATATAAGCAGTGAAAACAACGACAAACAAAAAGCAGGTAAACCCGGTCATGGTAATGAAAATCTTGAGGTACTCGGACAGGATGTAGACGGACAAGCGAAATCAAAGACGAATTTGACAATTCTGGTAGACAAAAAGCAGCACAAAACACACAACGGACATTACGGTGACGAACTCAAATTCACAACAAATTGTTGCTCTTTTCAGCTGTTCGTAATTTTTGTTTACTTTTTACGAACGACACTCCACACTACCGCCATCGCGCTTCCAGATGATCCATCTGGTCAACCAATCAGAGAACCAATGTGATCTTTCTAATTTGACAGTCCCCTCTTAGCTTTCGAGGCCGTTTCACCTAGATTACAACGTTGCCGTGAGTTGCTTTATTCATGTACTGGGTTGCTCAATTATAATACCGAAAGTGTGCGTAAGATTTTTGAAAACACCGTTTTTTATTTTCATTTTTTTGCTCGCACGTTTGACTTTAACTATATGAACACCTTATTAAGAAAATCTCCTACCGATTTTCTTTAGTGGGGTTTTATGTGGAACTGCGGTTTTCAAATACTTTTTATGAGTGAATATTTTCCATTAGTTAACAAAGGATGCCTCGATGTCTCTCTCGTTTTTCAAACCGTTATCACGGTGGCACAGGTCGAAAAATTCCTCACTTTTTGCCAAATATTAATTTTGTTCTACTTGGTTTTCTCATAGATACATTTAGGTATTAGGATTAAATTCGAATAATTTTCCTACTTTTGTAATATTATTACTACAGTAATAGAGTAAATCTTTTTGAGTAAAAAAATACCTGGTCACTCTGTACGTTTCTCAACTTGGCAACTCAGCAATACAAGATCCTGGCAACTGATACGCAACTCAATATACAATACCCATTATACAGTGTTTTTCAGAAATTTCGATCAGGAAAATAGTGAAGTTTATATTATCAGGAGTGCAAGTACTTTATATCTGAAATAAGGGTAATTTGCTTCCTCAGGAAATTTTGTTTTTTAATAATAAAATAAAACGCTTCAGTCGATTTACCTAATCAATTTTTCACACTCATAATATAACTGATACAACAGCTAAAGCAATAAAATTATTCCAATATCTTACTGCTTCCAGCCAGGTTGAAGGTTTTGCTCATATAAGCTAATAAAAAATAAAAAATTTTGCACTGAACTCGAAAACGAAGCGCTTGAGACCCAGTTTCAGTTGAACTTTTTTCACTTTTCCGAACTGAACTTTCTCTAAGCTTTTGCAAACATTCGGTTCAAAACTCGTCTCGCTTTTTATGAAGATCCAAAAACAGTTTACTAATCTTCTAAATGATCATAAGTAATTTCTCAAATACAATTTAAAGATTTCAGCTTTCTACAAAGATTTGAGATCCACAAATACACAAATATTCCGTTTGTCTCAGCTTTTTGAGCCAAATTCATCAAACTACGCAGAATCTTACTTTTTCCAAAACTCCTTAATTAATTAATTAATGCAACTAAAGGGAAATAAATAACACACATTCGACATCATAAAGAATTTATTATAATGTTCGGAATAATACAAGCAAACATAAAACGTTTGAAAACGCACATTATAAAACGTCTATTCTAATTATGTGCAAATGCACAATTAAACACTTTATTCTTTCCCATCAGTGTTTTTTTTTCGAAGTTCTAATTGAAAAAACGGAGATAAAGCGTCCGGACAAAACGACAGACGCCGTAAATGTATTTAAAAAATATTGGCTATAAACTAAAGTATAAAAATGAGGTCCGAAATGCGTATTTAAACATAAATTCAAAGTAAAACATAAAAGTTCAAAAAACTAATAGACTTTCTCATGTTTAGTAATCATTACTATAACTTCCGTAGTCTCCTGGTTTATCTCTAGCTAATAATTTGAAATAATTTTTTCAGCGGTGGGCCCTTTGATAGAATACCATTTTTTAAATACTCTGCACAAATCTAGAAAAGCATCAGTCCGGTGTCTATAATATAGGAACTTTTTCAGAAACATTAAACGGAATAACTGAGATGGCGTATTTTAACTTTTTAACTTTTAACTCGAAAAAAATCCGTAGAATGTACAACAGTAATTGTGGCAGCACCGACTAAAGAGTTGTATAAAAATAACTATTTCAAACCGAACAGAAACATTTAATAAGTATTTTCTAGCAAAACTTCAAGCAATACATTTGCTAATGTTAAGTGAACTTTACATTCAAATTGACTTTGCACAAAAGCGTCTGATCATCAATACTAATGCATTTCGGATTTATTTGTACTTCATATTAATCGTGATTGCTAAACACTGCTTGAGGCATTTTTGGACAAAGTCATCAAAGAAGCACCTTAAAAATACACATACACATAAATCCGATTAACGCTGACCATAAGTTCTTGCCAACAACAAAACCTAAAGACGCAGGTCAAGAGCACAGAGGCAAATTTAAACTACGTGTCCAAATGGGAGAAAATCCTAGGGCTATAATTTAGAAAATATTTCGTCTAATTCTAAGCGTTTATGTTAATCCGGCTGCTGTTGAACCCCCAAACACATATCTATATATCTATCACGCCAAGTTGCTTTTGAAATAACATCAAACTAGAAAACGTTCTTGACTGGAAGTTATTGGCAATGTTTCAATTGTGCGCAAATACAACAACAATCAATTGAGCTTTTACGTCCCATCAGCCAATAACACTTTGAAATTTAACTCGAAAACTCAAACTATTTCAAAAACAACTCCAATCCATAAATAAGTTTTCCTAAGCATCGGGCTGACTTAGCCGGACCGAATTCCAATCCAAATAACATATTTCCTAATTTGTATCATGCTAAACACCAAATTAAAAATATAATGACCGCGCCTCTCTTCCTCACGGATCAACCTTTCCTAAAATCCTTATCTACGTTACTTATTACAACATATCGCAGAAATTTTTCGAAAACATCAGACTTTCCAACTGAGCTATCCAAATACATTCATTTAACCGCCTAATTAACTTTACTCATTTAGAAAATCGCAGCTTGCTGAAAATCATTGATCATTCATATGCACTGGATAGCTTCAATTTTGCCTAAAAATAATCACGTTGCCGTGCTTCTTTCTCATTGCTCACACCATGCCGAAACTTATAAAGTATAATCGAATAGAATCATTTTGAACTTGTGATCGTAGGGCTAATGCTAGTTTTACTTAAAAAACCTTTCAACTACTTTACTACACATATAACGAAAAACAATGTCTATATTTTCAAAACTTCATAGTTCACGTATACCAATTTTGCTTTTAAGTTATGTACAATTGTTTGATAGAGTGATCCTCAAAATGCGTCCTATTAAAAGAAATGGGTTTGTGGATTTGGATTGCATGAGTTGGACTCGATTTTTGTATGGAAATATTATAAGTAATCTATGGAATTGCATCATCCAGTGTATACTTAAAAAGTATTGAGCAGTATCGATAACAAAGAATCAAATTAGGAAGTTCGACATATCAATCGCTGTTTCAAGTTATATAGCATTTTCTGAAGGTATTAGACGTTCAGAAAATGCATTACTTTCAAAGAGGCAACCAATTTTAGCTACAGATACCTACTTATGGCAAACAATAAGTATTTAATTGTTAAATTAACCAATCATCAAATTCTGACGCAGAATTTTCAAACAAAAATTCGTGTGGTTTTTAGCATGGAATGTTGTCCAATCAGAAGACACCCATTATACTGATCGATCATAAAAAATAAGAAGTCTGTAGACAATACATCAAAATTTCCAGTTGTGCATCTTAACACAAAACATCAAAATCAAAAGATCATAATTCTTGAGTCCTTAGAGAGAACCTTTTATACGTGAATGATTTCATTTAAAAAACCATCAAAAATCAACGCGACCTGGATAATGAAATAGCATTTGGAAGATCACCTTTTACAAAACAGAATTCTTAGAAATCCTTAGAAATATAAATAATATTCAATTAAAACAGCAATAGAACGCAAATTCAACTCGTACTGTGTCGTTTAGAGGGCCAGAATTTTGAAATATCATTAGTTAGTTTACACGGAGTATCATTCTTTGAAATCACAGATATTTCATTTAAAAACAGTATTGAAATTGTGCAATCAAAAAAAAATTAAACAGAAATTGTTCTGCGACTGAGAAGAACTTTGCAGAGACCTTTTTTATTGTTTTATTTTTAATAGTTCTACCTTTGTAATGTACAACTATATTAGACGCTCAGCTTCAATTTAATTGCATAAACAACTTTTGTCACTCATCCGCCAAAACAATTTCGTTTCATCTTGAATTTGCCCGTAATAGCATATGTTTACTTGAAATAAACGAATTTTTAAATTCTGTTTTTATAAAACACGAAAATCGGAATTTTAATATCATATACGACGTAATGTGCGTATAATATGAACTCGCTAGATACTGGCACACACATTTTATATCAAATTGGAATGTAATGGGTGGCAAGATCACGCACGGACACCAATATAAAAACAAATCGAAAATTCGCCACCTTATCAAAATATATCTATTGACACAATAGGAGTCGTTTTGAACTCGAAACAATACAAAACAAACGTACTTAAATTCCTACGTCAGGAGGCCTCACTAACTTACTAAAACCTCACATTTAACCCTAAAAATTATAGTATATTGTATATTTACAAAAGGAACAAAACAATTCACAAAACTCCTTATAGCGATAGTAATATTACGATAAATATATGTTTTTGGCGTTTCATAAAAAAAGAAACTTTCAATCCTTTTAAATAACAAAATAATAAAATAAAAAATCGTCATGTTCAACCTTGGATTATTTTACTATATGCATTTACTTAAAAGTACGCGTATCTGTAAATAGTGATCTGTTTTACTATTTCGAAAGTAAACCAAGTTACGTTGGTCCGTCAGTCTTTGGCTCGTGTCACAGAGTTTTACCGCCCAAATCTCATAAACAAGAGTCTGTTGTATTGCTTTCAAATACTAAGGCGTTTGTCTTATAAATACGAACAATAAAGGTGGAATGTTTTAGGAAGATATTTATGATACACGAGTTCGGATGTACCATTGTTTGCAGCCATTCGTAATTAAAGTAACGATCGAAATCAGATCTTCAATAACCCGTAACGTAATTTATGTGTCTCTATGGAGTAGAGATCAGAACATTTCTATTCCTCAATGTGGAAAATCGCTAATGCATGTATACTTTGTGGTTTTTAGGCATGCCAAACTCCAGTACGCCCGAAAGTGGCTGGAACTTTTAATTAAAAAAGCAGGGCGAAGCACCCGATAAAAAGAACTGAAATTTAGGCGGTCTATCAACCTTTTGCACGCTAGGTCAGTCTTATAGAACAGAGTGATTTTTAAATGTTATTTGACTTATTACCTAAATATTAATATTAATAGTTTGGTATAAATTTAATGGCACAACTAGCAAAAAATAATTTTATATGAAATACGCAAAAATGTATCGTTTTGTCGACGAATTCAGCAATTAACTAAGAGCAGAGAATTACATTGCAGCTTCATTACTTCTCATCTCTCTGCAACAGCAGGCTTGATGTTCAATAAACAAATAACTTTCGTGTTTTTTGCTGCCCAGACTTCAGTGAAACAAAACAACAATCACCCCCCACTTCATACATCCCTCTTGCGTACATCTCAGTCTTCCCTACACGTCACTCTGCCGTCTATAAACATGACCTGGCGTGCGCAAGACACGGTCAAAACTTGTGGACTCAAGTAGCGCGCAGTTCAAAACGCTGCAGCGCATCAACGCAAGCTGCATATCTTATGAGATGCGGCGCTATCAAACGTGATGGAAACAACCAAAACAACACAAATGGAACGAATTCCATTGATGTTGAACTTTGTCAATTTTTGCAACACCTATGCCATCTACAAAACCCCCCCGTTACTTGCTCATCCCTCGTGCTCGGCCCCCAGTTTCCTTGCGAGACCGTAGTGGCGCATCTTTGCGAAGCGAATGATGTTCGATCACGAAGCCTGGAACAATAATGCAAAGGGTTAATCATCATAAAACCTCCAGTGAACTGAATTAATTATCTAGTTTAAGTTGATTAAATATATTGTGCCCTAGAGCCAACCACATAAAGAAACAAAGAAAAAATTATTTAAATTTTTTAACACTAAAGCTAAAAGCAGTAGGTAATCGACTTTTGGGATTTTTGGCAATTTTTTTTTCATGTACAGTTTGTTTGCTTCAGTTGGAGCCAGATAGAAAATCTTTCAATAATCATTTTAAGAAAAATTATTACTCTTCTTAAAAATGTCTGCATATTGTGTGATTGTGAATACTTTGGGGCTTAAAAATAGTCCAAATACGCGACAGATAACATAGACAATAATTTCCGCGCTGCACTTCGCTTTGTACTAATGCCGCGTTTACATTGGATGCGGATGCGTGAGTTTTTCAGTCGTTCGAGCTCGGACGTACACGCATCAAAAGTCAAACAAGTGAGACCGAAGGCATGAGGTTACATTTCATACGAGCTTGCACGTACGAGCGATCGGAAGCTTCCGGTTATTATTACATTAATAATCAGAATTTAATAATAATTTCGTAAATAAAAAATCCAGATTTTTACAACAGAATCTTTGGGCGAAAGTTGGCCAAGAAATGGAAGGGTGCAATACACTCCCCAATGTTGTAATCCTCTAAAACTATCCAGTCGATTCTATTTTGGGTATGACCAAACCAAGACATTCCATTTATGCATCAAAAAGATTGAGATTTTCACTTGCTTCTCCTCTACTTGCATATAAATTATTTACCCAATATAATTCAATATTTCACACTGAAGTATGCTTCACACATAATATCAAATATGTCAACATGTGTGTTTCGTCCATTTGTCCAAACCAGCGGGTAAATTCCATCCGAATTCGTATGACTAAAAAACGCACGCCCTCGTATAGTGTAGCCACGGCCTAAATAGACGCCAACGCGCACGCACTCGATGTCCCAACATCTCAAGCGTGAAGTGGTACATAGTAGGGGCGCAAAAGCTGTAGAATTTGATCCATCCATGGTCGTTTTATGCGGCGTCTAAACTTGACGCGGCGTAAGCGAGGCAAAACCGCAAAGTCGGGCAGAAGCTTTAGGATATTCTGCGAGGATTTTTTACTTTTGCCATCACGCTCTTTTGCTTAATGTGCAATTCCTATTGTTTATAGACAAACAAAGCGAACTGTGCATTACAAGGGGAAGATTCAATTCAACTCAATGAAACTTCTGCTCTTCGATTCGGTTCGTTTCGAGTCCCTACCTTACAGGGGCGGATCCAGCTGTAAAGTCGGAGAGGGGTTATGTAGAAAAAATACAGTCTTCTGAAAAATGATCGTCGTTTTGTGCGAGGGTGGCACAAGATTATTGCAAAATTACATGTTTTCCGTCCCGTTTTTGCTCATATCTCGGAGGCAAAAGAACGCTCATTTGTACATCATTCTAGAAAGAAATAAATGGTCTTTTTAGAAAGTGAACCATGGATAAGAAAATGTTGGCAGTTTTCTCAAAAAATGCTTGAACTCAAGAAGTTTTAGATTTGCGTGGTTTTTTTTG